TTCCTGCAATCAAGTTTGGTGCGGTTAACCTTGAGTTTGTATCTATTGTGTGCTCTTGTGTTGTTATGGTTGAAGCTGAAGTATTCATTGACAGGTAGGACATTGCAATGTATGATTTTATGTACTATACTTAGATCAGACCGAAGATGGCGTAATTCAAGGTTTTCTAGGTCTAGAATTTCAAGTCTGGTGGCATAAGGTATTCTACAATGAGTAGAGGAGTGGAGAACTCTTGTGAAATATTTCTGGACTTTCTCAACTGTGCTAATATCAGATAAGTAATGTGGGTTCCAGATTGATGAGCTGTATTTGAGTATTGGTCTAACAAATGTTTTGTATGCTCTAGTTAGTAGTGTGATATTACCAGAGAAAAAGCTACGTAGGATTAGGTTAACAGCTCTTTTTTTTTGTTGTAAATTATATTTGAGTTTTCACAAAAAAAACCCAAAAAAACCCCATCTTTTTTGAAAGTAGCGTAATCCCGGGTTACATTTCTTCGTACAGACACAAATTCGACTTCATGCTCATTTTTATATTCTATTCCATATCTTATTACTATTTTACATTTTCAGCATAACTTCTCCCCTCTTTTAATTTCCTTAATTTTATTTTAATTATCTCATCTCAATTCAAATCATTATATTTATATTTTTTGTCTGTCCTGTTTCAATTATCTATTATCTTTTCTCATTAAACAAAATTTCTCCTGTAGTTGGAGTATGACGCCTTTATATCTTTTAAGTTTATCCATTTAACTCTTATTTAGGCTTCAATATATACCCTAAAGTTATAACATTCAATATAATACATAACTTCCATTTGGATTCTGCTCGGTACATTCTTAAAATACACACTATATTCTTAAAAAAAGAAAACAATTATAAATGTTTGTAATTAAAACAACACATTCCATTCCAATTCAATTCTATCATTAATATTAATATTCATTAAAATCTTAACTTCTTTACCATTAGTTTTCAATTAAATATCATACTTCTATGGGGACAATTGTAAGCTTTCCATCATTAATTCCCCCCACTTCACTTATATTTTATAAAACATTAACTAATTAAGATGTTCCCGTTCCTTCCTAATTCAATTTTCTCATTTATTTTATTTCACTTATTTTATTAACAAACATTTCACTAAATTACACTATTTTATCCTTCATTTTAATCATACATTGTTTCAAATTTTCTAAAGTTATTTCTATTACTAATATAACAATACAATCTTATGTACTTTTACAGAATCCCTTTTTCAGTTAAATTTTCACCCATTATCTCTAAATAGGTCCTGTTTCTCTATATCTTGTTCCGGTCCTTTGTAACTTCTTTTCCTTTCCTTCTTCCCTCTCTTCTTCTCTCTCCCCTTTTTACCCCCTTGTCTCTCTACCTCTATTTCTCTCTTCTGTATTCCTGTTTTCTGTTGCTTTCCAGTATTATACTTATTTTTTGAATTATTTTTCTTTTCTTTGGTTGTTTTTTTAAGTCTTAAATTCTCCATTCTCTTTCCTTCCTTTCGTTTTTCTTCCCCACATAAAATTACTTGTTCATTAAAGATGGCTTTTTCTTTGTCCCAGTCTTCTTGTTTTACAGACATTTCTTATTGTTTCTCATAGTTCCAAATCTCCATTTCTAAGAATTGAAAAACGAAGCCAAAAGAACCCTTTCCTTCTTGTGCATCTTCTTTGTACTTTTTAAGCTCCGTTTTCAATTCATCTAGAAGTGATGCCATTGTATAAATTTTTAAACAACCACCCGATTAATTTTAGTCATTCAAATGTAATAACCAAGAATCCAACGATCACCAAATAATCCAAATACACGCAGGCTGTTTCTTTTTGCTCTTTTTTTTCACTTTCTCTTCCTGGGGTTACTGTTTAGTTACAAAGTTTCAGTCAAAATGTATCTTTTAGAAGTCTTATTGAAGTTTTACTGTAGATTCTTTTTAATTCCAGGCAGTCTCCTCCCTCTTCCAGATCCTGCCCTTATTCTTTTTCTCTCCCTTCCTGCTTATGAAAAAAAAAATTTAGTGTCCAGAAATCTTTATTATCCCTTTGACATTTTGTTTTATTTTCAGCTTAATTGCCTGTTGATGTCAAAGCGGATTTTTCCGATTTCTTATTTAAGTCTCTTGGTTGTCAGTATAGGGAAGGGAAGAGAGAAAAAAATCAAACCTTTCCCTTTTCACTTTCCTTCACTGCTTCCAACTCTTCTTTGGGAGCGATGTTATTTTTTTGTAAGTTTAAATTCCAAGGTACCTTAGATGTTGCTTTTACAATTTAACCCAGTCAGCCAAAACTTTCACTTCTTATCTTCCTCCTGCACATTCTTTTCCGGTCGAGTTCTTCTTTGTGGTGGCCATTTCTGACCGCCGCTGCAACCGCCTTCAGGAAAGGGAGTAATGGCCAGCTGAGGAGGAGAGATGCAGCTCTCCTCAGCCCTGCTGGCAGTCTCCCCCTTCTTCACCACCTCTACGGGGTGGCTTAGCCCCGAAACCAGCCGGCTTGGGGCACTCCAGCGGCAAGCCCAGACCGAAACCGTGCACAATGGCAGATTTCTGTCTGTCACTGAAGAGACTTCAAACCGGAAGCGAGGTTAACAACTCTTAATGCCTTTTTGGCTATGTAGTTACAGTGGGCTCTAGCACTTAGATCAGTGATCCCCAACCTTTTTGACGCCGCGGCCCGGTACCGGCATCAGCTGGGCACTGCGGCCCGGTACCGGCATCAGCTGGGCGCCGCCATCTTTTTTTGATGAAAAAGTGCTTCCGGTGAGCTTTCTACCCGGAAAAGCTCACCGGAAGCACTTTTTCATCAAAAAAAGATGGCAGCACCCAGCAAGCCAGCGGCCCGGTAGGACTTGTTCCGCGGACCGGTACTGGTCCGCGGACTGGTGGTTGGGGACCCCTGACTTAGATCATTAGAGATGAGTATTCCAAGGTCCTTTACAGAGCTTGGGTCATCAACAAGATCTTGACTATTCAGCTTGTATTTTATTTTCTGATTTTTTTTGCCAATATGTAAGACAGAACATTTATTTGTTGAGATTTGAAGTTGCCATTTGTTTGACCATTCTGATACATAGTCAAGATCTTTTTGAAGGGTAGCAGTATTGTCTGTAGTATTGAACAGCTTTACATCATCAGCGAAAAGAACGCAGTTGCTCTTAATATGATCACAGAGGTCATTTATATAGAGTATGAAGAGAGTTGGGCCTAGAACACTGCCTTGGAGGACACCACTGTTGACAGGTACAGAATTTGATAGGACGCTCCCTATTTTGATCATTTGTTGTCTGTTTGACAGGAATGCTTCTATCCAGTAATGCAGGTGTCCAGAGATATCATAAGATTTTAGTTTTAGGAGTAGTTTGTCGTGTGCCACTGAATCAAAGGCTTTACAAAAGTCTATGTAGATTGCGTCTATTGCTTTACCCTGATTGAGTTGTGTAGTTCATATGTTTTTGCAGTGTAAGAGTTGCACATTACAGGATAGCTTTTTTCTGAAACCAAATTGTTTATTAGAGAGTAGGTTGTTTGTCTCTAAGTGGAGGATAATGGATTGGTTAATAATTGATTCCATGACTTTACAGGTGACACAGCATAAAGAGATTGGTCTGTAATTTTCAACTAGGCTGGGGTCTCCCTTTTTGAAGATGGGGATGACCGTGGCTTGTGACCATAGTTTTGGCAAGGAGCTGGTCCTGAAAGATTTTTCAAAGATTATGCTTAGAGGTTCAGCTATGGCAGTGGATAGCTTTTTTAAGAAGTAGGCACATATTCCATCCAGTCCAATAGATATGGTTTTAGATTGTGTAGTGCTTTTTCAACATTGTCTTTTGTAAAATCGATATGTATTAGATCATTGTAGTTGTCTGTGGTTTGACTAGGAAATACTGGGCATGATCCATTGCTGTTTACAAATACTGAGCCGGAGAATGTGCTAAAGAGGTTGGCTTTAATGGTGTCATCATTGCAGTCTTTACCATTAGGTCCTATCAGGGATGGGATGGACCTTGAGTCTTTTAGTTACTTTATTTCCTTAACTATTTCATTTATCAGCATTCCAGTCTCAATATCCCCCCTCTTATGTATTATACCCATCATTAACATCTAATATTCAGCTTCTTTTTTCTTCTTCTGTTATTTGTTGTTCCTTTTGAACCATTTCACTGGTTTCTCTTTCTTCTAACTCTTTGTCCTTTCTTCTTCCTCCTCCTCCTCCTCCTCCTCCTCCTCCTCCTCCTCCTCCTCCTCCTCTTCTTCTTCTTCTTCTTCTTCTTCTTCTTCTTCTTCTTCTTCTCCTTCTCCTTCTCCTTCTCCTTCTCCTTCTCCTTCTCCTCCTCCTCCTCCTCCTCCTCCTCCTCCTTTTCCTTTTCCTCCTCCTTTTTTTACCATTTCTGATTTTTCCTTCATATTCTGTATATTCAGTTCCCAATTCTGGAGATTCTCCTGGACTCCCGAAGAGCAGGTGGCAGTCATGGCTAGGAGAGGGTCTGTAAGTCTTTGGGATAGTTGGCCACTTTGGCAAATAATTTAATAAATAACTAAATGTACTAAACAAACAAACAAATGTGGTATTACACCTGATTAAAAGTGTGGTTCCATTTTCCATGAGATCCCGAGAATCCTTCAAATCCTGCTGCATTTGTCCTTCCCGTCTTCTGCGTTATTTCTTTCCATCTCCACCACATCTGGCAGAAGGTTCCTTCCACCTCTGGGCATTTCTAGCCTTTATCCCTGTTGGATTTGCCTATTTGGGGAATTCTTCCTTTTTGGAGGCTGCAACTGATCCCAATCAGGAAGGATTTCACTTTTTTCCCTCTTTCAGGATCCCTTTTAATTTCTTGCTGCAATTTACTTTGGAAGATGACTCAAAACACAGAATATTTTCAGGAGTGAAAAGGGATCCTGGCCTGAACTAACCAACTTGGTCTCCTGTTCTGGGCCCTCCTGTGCCTCTCATGTGCCTCCTTCTCTTCCTTCCTTCCCTCCAGCCAAACCCACTGTCACTATCTCCCCCACCAAGATGGACCCCGCTTCCCCCAACACCATCCTCCTCTGCACCGCCACGGGCTTTTACCTGCTGGAGATTGAGATCCAGTGGCTGAAGAACGGGAAGCTGGAGGAGGAGGGTGTGGCCTTCGGGGAGGAGCTCCAGAACGGAGACTGGACCTACCAGCTCCAGGTGATGCTGGAGACCCAGCCCCAGCGGGGGGACGTCTACACTTGCCAGGTGGGGCATGTCAGCCTGGAGGCCCCCATCACCGTCCAGTGGGGTAAGCCCCTCCCCTCCCTCCCCTCCTGCCCTGAGAAGGGGGAGAGAACCTCCCTGTGGGGGGAGCCGGAATGGACCCTCCTGGGGGACGGTGGGCCTGATCCTCCTTCTCAGGTGAGACTCCTTCTCCTACCCCAGAGCCCCATTCCTCCAGCTCTGCCAAGAGGAAACTCTGGACAGGGATCATGGGGGCCGTGATAGGAGCGGCCTTCCTGGCTATGGGACTCTTCTCCCACCTGAAGAGCAAGAAAGGTGAGTCTGGGGGGCTGGAGGAGAGGTTGTAGGGAGGGGACCATCTAGTGGAGGCCACTCATCATTCAGCAGGTGGCCAAGAGGGTTTCCCTGAAGAATAGTTTGGGGAACTTCTGTTCTTGGAGGAGTTATTAAGGGAAGATCCTGCAACCTATTATGGGCTATCAGTGGGCAGTGGGACCCTCTTGAGTCCTCCAGCCCATGAAGGGTCCTGATTGGCTCTTTTTCTCCTTCTAGCAATTCCCATCCAACCTCCTGCAGGTGAGTTTCTTCTCTTCCTCCCTCATCTCATCCCCTCCTACAAGTTATAGGTGTTCTTTTTAATATTTTTAAAACTATCTCCTTTCTGTGAATACAGCAAATTTTTGGGTTTTGGGCCGCTTTTACTTACAAAGACCTGAAAAATATTTCAATCAAAAGCAAAATACACAGAAACGCTAAAATATTTCCCAGAATTTTTCCAAGTTTTGGGGAGCACCCCAGGCTTACATCCCCACTATATTTTGTAAGCAACCCACCCATCCTGTTAGGCTCAGTGTGGAGAGGGGTTCCTGAGGGGATTCAGGCATGGGGAGAAATTCCACCCCTTTGGCTATTTTAAAAGGGTCGAGTCCTATGTTAATATCCACTACGGTATTGTGGGCCACTTTAGCAAATGGCAGGAGATTTTCCCAGCTAAATTGCTGATAATTAACAGAGCATCTCAGGTATTGTTCTATCATTGCGTTAGCTCGGTCTGCAGCTCCATCCGTACTCGGATGGAAGGTGCAGCTTAGCCCTAGAGAATGATGACCCTACCAACTTCATGAACTCCCTCCAAAACTCCACTGTGAACTGGACCCCTCCCTCCCCTCCCCCTAGTCCCAGATGATCCTTCTTGACACCCCATGGGGACTCATTCGGGTTCATTAGTTGGAACCTTGACAGGCTGTTCTTTCAGACACCCCTTCTCCTTCCCGGAATTCACCCCAATTCTGGCCACGTGACCCACAGGCTCCCCCATTGCTGCCACCCCCACCTGGCCCCATCTTCTGATTATACGAAATAACTGCAGGGGGAGGGGGGAGGGGGGAGGGGGGTCTCCCCTCTTGATAAATCTTCTAATTAAGACAGTTAGGGAGAAGCCCAGAATCCCCTGGAGATGAAATGGGGAGGAATCCCTGGTCCTTCCCAGCCTTTTCCTCCCTGAAATGGGCAGATTTTCCCTCTATCGGTCCCTGCCTGTCAATCACCCCCCTGCAGTGTGGGCCTGCCTTGGGGGTTGGGGGGCTGAAAGGGAAGAAAAAATGTTATTTACAGTAAAGTTTTTCTTTATATTCTAATTTTCTTCCCCTTCTCTTTTTCTGCAGCCCTCATGAATTAATCCTGCTCTCCAATGCAAA